ACTTGCTTTCATTTGTTTATTACTTGTCCATTTGTTGCTGGCATTTGGGAATGGCTTTTTTCCTTATTTGAATGCAGGTGGACACCTTCGACTGGCATCAAAAGTCTTTTTGATCCAACTTCCTGTCCATGGCTGAGGAAGATAGGTAACATCATGTGGAAGAGTGCTAGGGCGGCAATAATCTGTGTAGTGTGGGAAGAAAGAAATGCAAGAATTTTTAGAGAAAAGGAAATAACAAAAGAGGCATTGATTGAATCAATACTGATTAGAATGGCTCAATGGCTGAAATCCTTAGAAAGCTTCTCACATATATCCACTGATGACATCATTAGAAACTGGAAGGTAGTGGCAGACTCAAATGTCAATAAGTAGCCTATTATTCCTATCTGGGCCCCTGCTGAAAGAGGATTTATAAAGCTTAACTTTGACGGAAGTAGCATGGGAAACCCAGGAAGGTCAGGAATTAGAGGTGTATTCAGGGACGAGGAGGGTAACGTGTGTGCATTTTTCTCAGGCCCAGTAGGTGAAGGAGACTCACTAAGAGCGGAAGTAATGGCAGTTATTGAAGGGGTGCAAAGGGCTAGAAACATGAATATTAGAAAGCTAATCATTGTAGGGGATTCCAAACTGGTAGTGGCTTGGCTACTGGATGAGGAAAGTAGGATGTGGAAATACAATAATGAGAAAAACAAATTCAGATGGATCACAAAGGACATGGAACTGAGAATACAGTGGGTGAAAAGAACAGCTAATTCGATGGCTGATGCACTAGCCAAGCAAGGGGTTGGGAGAATTCAAACATTTTGGGCACAAATGTAATTTTAATTATAACTAAAGTTAAAGGGGAGAGATAAGAGGGCTTGTCTCTCTCCCACTTTCTCTTGTACACTTTCTTTTAAATTCAATGAAGTAATCAGTTATTTTTTTTTGGAAAAGGTAAGGTATTTTATTAAATCAAGAACCAGTACAAGGAGCCTAGGCCATTAGAGGCTGCCTAGAGCCACCACAAATTACAGATACATCCAGTTCTGAGATCTAAACAACAGACTCAAATTCTGATTTTTAAACACCTCCGTTGCCAACACCCAGGACAGAAGTTTACCCATAGCTTTCTGCACCATTTCCTCTGGAGATTTAGCTTTGCCTGAAAAGTTCTGTTATTTCTTTCAATCCAGATAGTACAAAGCACAGCAGCCGGGATAGTCTTCCAAACCAAGGTACATTTCTTGCTGAGATCCTCAATCTGCCAACACAACAGCAGATCCTTCACAGAATTTGGCATTGCCCAGCTGATTTCCAAAGCTTGAAGAAAATGCCTCCAAATATAATTCGAGACTGCGCAATGTAAGGCCAGATGTTCAGTAGTTTCTATTGGCCCACCTCACAAGCCACATGACATGTCCGAAATCTGTATGCCACGTTTCACTAGATTAACTTTGGATAGACATTTATTTAAAGCCATTGTCCAGAGCAAAAACTTCACTTTGGAAGGACTGATTGAGTTCCAAATCTGCCTAGCCGGAAAGTTTCCCTGACCTGAACTTATCAACTTACTAAACATAGACCTTACAGAGAACCTGCCATCAGCTTCCCAATTCCATCTCCAAGCATCCTCCATGTTTGGGTCAATCCTCTGGTTATGGAGTAATCAGTTATTCATAAAAAAAAACATGTAACTTCGTTAAATTTATGGGAAATTACAAGCAGAGGAAGGTAAATTGTCTTAACTCCCTTGCAAACAAAACAAAACAAAATACAATATTAGAAATGAGACCAAAACTAAGAATCACTATTTACCCCTTATTTAGCTAGCCCATCAGCAAATGAGTTAGTAGTTCTCTTCACCCAACTGCATTTTATCTCAGTGTCCTTAGCTAGCCATTTGAATTTTTTTCCTTTCATTGCTAAAGTTCCACATGCCAGTCTTGTCTTCCTTTAACCATCTTACCACTATCTCCGAATCACCTWTTAATACAATCGTCCTAATGTTCAATTCTTTTGCTCTTTGGATTCCTTCCAATGCCACAAAGATCTCATCCCTAAGAGAGTCACCCTCTCCAATTGGGCCTGAGAAAATGGCTAAAACATTCCCTTCCTCATTCCTGAAAACTCCCCCAATACCTGACTAGTGATTTAAAAGGTGTGCCTGGGCGCACAGGCGAGGTGCAGTTCAGGGTAGGCACCTCGCCCAGGTCCTAGGCATAGCCCTTTCAAAAGGCGCACGCCTGGTGCAACTTTTGCCTCAGCCTAGGTGTGCGCCTTTTGAAACTTTGACGCTTTTTTGCTTTTTTTGTGTCTAGTGGCTGGGCTGGGGGCTCCATCCCCGAACCCCCATGCCACGCCACTCAAGGCAAGCCTAAACAAGTCCACGTTAGGTCTTAAATTCTTAGTTCTCACACAAAAAATAATGATTTTATAATTTTTATTACTTTTTAAGAAAACATTTTATTAGGATGAATGAATGAACAACATTACCAAATAGGGGGTTCTCAAAGCTCCGGTCTCGAGGGATGTAATATGTTTTACATCACATTAGCTACTTGAAGTAATGTGATTGAGAAAAAAAGAGATTGTGGGTTTTATATGCTTGAAAATGTTTTATATATTTGATTTTATTTTTAAATTCTCATTTGAATATGCTTTACATGTTATATTTATGTATTTTAATATTAGATAATAGGTTTTTCAAAACATTTATTTTAAAACTAAAGTTTATATTTTTTGCACCTTGCTTAAAAAGGCTTGCACCTTGCCCTTGCGCCTTGTGCCTCAGGCGCAAATTGACCCCTGTGCCTTGTGCTTTTAAAACACTGTACCTGATAGCCCTAGATTCCCTATGCTATTGCCATTGAAATTTAGTTTTATGGAAGCCGGGGGGGGGGGGTTGAAATCCATGAGAAACTTGGAACCCTCTTAATTTGGGCTGAACTTGCCATCTCTTTGTAGTTTCTCAACAGCTCATCTGGGGAAAAATCTGTTAATAAGTCCAAGGATTTCAGCCATGGCAGATTAGCATGGTTATGCATTCACAAATTGCAAGAAAGTGAATGAGCTGCTGATGTAGGACTGGAGGCTTTGATTCCAAATAATGTAGGACTAGAATAACCTATGGATGAGTCTAGGAGGGTAATGGTGGGCTAGGAAGAGTTTAGGAATGATTTTAGAACTGAAGGGAAGGATTAAGAGGTGACATAATGGTTTTGGATCAAATTGTTGATAACTACATATTCTCTAATGGAGGGTGAAAATAGAAAATTCAAAAGCTAAGCTTAGGAAGTTTTTGAGTTAATAGTTATAGACTATAGAGGGAAACCCAATTTGGTTGGTAGCAGCATATGTGGCTTTTTGGATTGCAAGGCTTTCAATGGTAATGCATATTAAGATGAGATTGCTACTTTGTTCAGTAATTTACATTGGACGTTATCTTGTAAAAGTTCTTGAACACATTCAGAAGATACATGTTTAATGTTTTGTGCTTGGCTATTCTTTTTCCTTTATGTGAAAAAAAATGATGTATTACTTTGTTATTAACTTAATACTACATTTAACTGGAAATTTGTCTTGGGATGGGCTTAGTTCTATTTTGAGAAGAGAGAAGCCCATTAGGGCATAAAAGTACTATCTCATCTATTGGAAAACAATGCAAGATTTCAACCACAAAACTGGATGGCATTGTCTGTATCTTATTAAAAAAAAAGTTACACCACTGGAGCCTCCTAGGCTCCTACCATATGGGAAGTGGCATTTTTGGATTAGTTCATTATGCACTAATTGCACCATTGTCCTGCATATCTTATTAAAAAACGTTACTTCAATGGAGCCTCCTACCATATCGGAAGTGGCATTCTTGGATTACTTCATTATGTAGTAATTGCACCATTGTCCTGCATAACTGATCATGCTTTTATCAGCATTTTTCTAGCCAAATCATTCGCATCAGTATGGAACTATAACAAAGAAAAGGTACAAAAAATTGAGAATTTTACTATTGGAAAAAATTCAGAAATTCAGGGTTGAGGTTCAAATTGGAACCCTTGGGTTGACGATCAAAATCATGAATTGTAATTTCTTGTCAACTGTGCACATTGTTTTAAATGGCTTGAGCCTTGAGGGGTAGGTGCATAGATTTTTCCTCAAGGCCTAGGCCCATGTTAGAATGAGGCATACGGGTCAAGCCTCAAGGCGCAAGGCATAGCTTGAGGTGTGAAAAGGTTTAAGCTTCACGACATAATGATTATTTAGTGATGTAATACAAAAAATATATTCTATGCTTTTTAATAGTTCAAAATATATGAGAGAAGCACTTTAGTAATTATGGGCCAAAAAAGAGCAAAAATGAAAAACCAATAGGGCAAATCAAGTTCTATTAGTTTCTCTTAGTGTTTTAGGAGAGTTCAGTGCAAAGAAGGGCCAATTAAGTTCTTAGTTTCTCTTGGGTAAATCAAATAGGATTTTTTTCTTATTATTCTAAAATCAAACATCCCAAGCTTGTTATTTTTCTCATTTCTTTTCCTAATGGGTTTATTTTTCTTTTTATTGATTTTTTTTTTCTTTTTGCATGGATCAATTCAACTAAGTTGTTTCCTTTCTTCTAGATTGTTGGGTGACAAAAATCTAGTATCAGTTATATGGATGATTCATCATATGTTTCCTTTCCTCTAAATTGGTCTTTTGAATAACTTGAGAACTTTGCATTTTGAAACATTGAAATGTCAAATGTTTATAATTGTTAGTTGGTTAGTTATTATTTTGTTAACACTTGAAAGCTAGAACTTATTGCTTATAAAGTTCTATTTTATGGACATTTATACCTTCTATCATTCTAACTTGGTATGTTATATGCTATTTTTATCATTTATAAACATTAATTAACTTCTTTTCCTAATTTTTAAGGCTTACACCTCTCAAGTCTCACACTATTATGCCTCAGTTACGCCTTGTAGCCTTTTAGAACCTTGACTGTGTGTGTATATACTGATGTTCTGCAACTTGTAATGCAGGAGCTATCAGAACTCAAGAAATCTCTCAATGTGGAGGTGGAGCAACTAAGATCAGTAAGTTCCACTCTAACCAGATGCTTGTTATTTCCTCTTTGTTTTTCATAGTTGTTTGTATTTCTATATGTTTAGTATTTCTTTTTTGTTTTATGAAATTTGCATAGTGTTGATTAATAACACTAATTAGGAATTTCAAGAACTGAAAACTACTCTCCAACAGCAACAAGAGGATGTAGCTGCTAATCTAAGGAACTTGGGGGTAATGTTTTAACTTGAGTGGCTATTTTCTTTTGATTTCAGCAGGAACCGTATTCTATTAAAATTTTGGGGAATTGATTTACATATATAAAACAAACAGAACTGCCAGTTTCTGTTTGACAAAAAAGTTACATCTAGCTGATTATTTTGGTGCTCCTGTAGTTGCAAGATATGTCAGAGGTTGCCAAGGAAACCAAAACTCCCGAGGCAGAAGAAAACAAAGCAGAGGAAATTCCAGCACCATCAGAGGAGAATAGTGAGGGTATTCAACATTAATTGGATTTTACCTGGAGCAATCTCAAGTTGTCTCTCAAAGGAGAGACTGTTTGGTCCGAATCCATTGTTTTCTGTCAAATAGGGAAGAGGCTTTTTGCCCATTTTCTTTTCACTTACGAGAAAATGAAATGATGAGAGCTGTAACAGCTGTAGATAAGTTAAAAGACTTGACATTGTTGTTCAAGATGGAACATGCCTGTAGTAATTGTTTTATTATTACTCCCTTAGTTTCCTCCATAGCCTCTTCAACTTAGAGATTTTTTGTTTTTAATTTTTCAATGAGTTGTTGTCTTTTAGTCCAGGCCTTGTTTAATGCTTGCTGTGGCTGTAATATTCCCCACATCTTTCATGTTAGTCTTTTGATTTGTTTCTATAACCTTCTTTTTGGTGTAAAAGTGGAACCTGATAAGACCTATGGGCGAAAAAGAAAATCAAAGCATCCTGCCCAACTTTCACCTAAAGCTAATTAGGTTAAACTTCCGCAGAACCGTTTGAGCCCATTGTTAGGGTTTGTTTGGTTTATCCCTGCCCAGCTCAAGCTCATCCATATGTGTCCATCCGATGCTGTGTGGGGCAATACATTATTGATCAGCAACCAAACACACAGTCAGCACATATCCCAAAAGGCAGTGTTCTAGTGTGCCACGTTGATTTTGCACCTTTCCAGCTTAGAATTGCTCGTTTTCTCAGCATTTTTTTTTCTTGTTATTAAACTTAGATGTGTCAATTTTCCAACTATTGTATATCTTCCTTTTTTGTTTAGATCTCTTGGGTGCTTATATAGATAGGATGTATAACTTTATCAATACCAAATGTGATCATTAGCCACAAATATGGTTCAGTGATCATGAATTAATCTGACCTAAAAGTCTCCACAAAGTAATTGGCTCAAAGAAAAGTGAAGATTAAAAAAATAATTATAATAAAGCCAAAGACGAGTAATATGAAGATTGAGACTACGAAGTACGAACCACTGCATGAAAATGTTGAAGGTTTATATCACAATCCATCTTCAATTGTTCTTATTCCCATATTTTAGTCAAATCATGCATGTTGTTTTTTTCTGCCATTGCCATTGGATGAATACTTAATAATATCTTGTTTGCTTCCCTTTTCTTTGCTTCTTGGTGTAGAGCGTAGACCTTTCATGGGCCGGGCTGGGCTTGGGCCGGGCTTTTATTATGTATTAACAAATTTTTTTAAAGCCCGAGCCTGAGCCTGGCCCAACCATCGGGCCTACAATTTGGGCCCAAGCCCGGCCCTCATAAAAAGCCCGAAGCTCGAGCTTGGGCCCGGGCTCGAAATTTAGCCTATATTATTATTATTATTAATGTTGAAGCAACTGAATAAAGAGAGAGATAGATTGAAATTATAAAGAAAAAAATAAAAAAAATATATATATATATATATTAAATTATAAATATATATTTTAATAAATATTATATTATTTATATATTTTATATAATATATAAAATACATATTAAAATATATAATACTGAGTCGGGCTGGGCTTTTTTGATAAATCCCGAACCCGGCCCGAAACACAGTCGGGCTTACTGTGTTAAGCCCGAGGTCAGGCCCACGGGCCTAATTATATGACCAAGCCCGGCTGGGGTGCGGGCCGGGCCGTCGGGCTACCCGGCCCATGAACAGGTCTATGTAGAGGGTGTCCGTGTGGCAAAAGGTTGTTTGTTTGTTTGTTTGTTTATTTCTACTGCTTGATTCATGGCTCCGCCACCTATAAAACATTGAAAAGGAAATCTATTACCTACTTTTTTTTCTTTTTTTAATCTTTGCTCCTGTCTACATGCTCCATTTGTTCTGCTCATTAAAAATATCATATACGTATTGTATGCTTGCTGATTTCACCATAAATTGCATTAAACCGGCACCTTAATTGTTGAACAAATGACCAACTTTGTGAAGATTGGTTAATAGATATTAGATAACCCACAACTGTGGGTTTTAGTTAAGGTTCAAAATATTTCAAGGGTAAATTGCATATTAATTAGTCCATAATTGTTAATCAACGTAAAATGGCACGTGGAAGGACAAAAATACCCTTCATGCATAATATCAGTATACTTTCTAAAAAAATCCCAGTACAAAAACAAAATCCCAACTTTCAAGGAGAATACTCGAGCTATCTCATGCAATAAAACTAGAAAATAGGGAAATAGTGAAAAAAGCTTGGTTTAACACCTTCATTCAACTTTCTCAATAGCCCAATACCATGGTCTCGTTAAAGCCAGCATTCTCTTCTGCGATGCCATGGTCTCGTTCAACCTTGAATGAAAGCAAAGAAAAGCCCTAAGTTCCAATGGTTTTGAAGAAAAGGGTAAAATGGTTTCAAAATTATTGAGAAGGGTAAATTTGATGTTTTCAAAAATTTAAATCGTACGTGTCGTCACGTGATACAAATAACTACTAGACTGTTAATGGTAAAACAGTTTTCAGGAGTTTCAGGTATTGTAATGGCACATTTTGAAAATTGGTACTAAATAACACTACCTCTAAATATAAGGTACTAATTTGCAATTTACCCATATTATAATGTATCAATGTACATCATACGATAAGTAACAGTTTCTAAGGTTATTTATATGTTGAGTATTTTAAATAGGATCTAATTAATTGATATTAATAGTAAGCAATCATGTTAAGACATGTAAATGGTAAACTCTAAGATTAAGATAAAAAGGAAAATACTTCCTACTATCCCACATCGAGTGCATGTATATTTAGAAACATAGTTTTAATTAGTTTCTTACTTATATTGGATGTGTATTATTCAGTCAACTGATTAAGCAAGTTCATTTGTCATTGGTAAATGTAGAGGTGTAAAGTGGGCCGTGCTGGGCCGATATGGCATGGCCCACGCAAAGTGTGGGTCATGTCGTGTTGGCTCGCGGGCCTCTACAGGCCGTGCTGCCCTCCTTAGTAAAAATTTTGGGGACAGCCCAGCATAGCCCATGGCTCAAGCCCGTGCGAGCCCGTGCCATGTCGTGTCGTGGGCCGGGCTAGCCCGTGGGCTGAGCTTTGGGCTAGGTCGGGTCGTGCATCGGGTCAAAGCTATTTATTCAAAAAAATTGGCAAAAAAAATAAAATTTTAATTTTATTTGAAATTTGTGTATAAAATTGTTTATATATACAATAATTAAATAAATTAGTATAATAAAATTAAAAAATTATTTATTTTATTAATATGGGTTTGACTATGATATGGAAAATATATGATATCTGAAAAACTTCTAACCAGTCAATTGGAATCATAAATGTGGTAGCCAATCAGGTGTTATTTATCAAAATTCATGGGTGGGTTTTGATTGGTCAAAACTCTTCTCATACCATATCTTTTCCACATCATAGATTTTCCCTATTAATATATTATATATGATATATTATTATATAATTATAATTTATATAATATTATATAAATATATGATGAGGGCGGATTTGACCCTCCAATAACATTATGACACTTGGTAGCCCCTTGACAACTAGACAGCTTGAGCTCGCCACAGGCAGCTCTTCACTAGGCAGCTTGCCATCATGCAACCCTCACAGGCAGCTCGCCACCATGAAACACACAGGAAGCTCGCCACTAGGCAGCTCGCCATCATGTAGCCTGGCACCTCAGAACAACTAGGTGACACCTGGGACCACTTTGACAACAACTTATCTTTGCTAAGTTGATGGTGTCCCACTAGGCGTAGGCGCGGCCTAGCACGGACGTGGCCCGGCACAGGCGCGACCCGACACAGGCGCGACCTGGTGGCCTGACCCTGGCACAACCTGGCCCTGGTACGAGCTAGCAGCCTGGCCCTGGCACGAGCCTAGCCTTGGCACGAGCTGACAGGCTGGCCCTGGCGCGACCTGGTGGCCTGACCCTGGC